AAGATTATATTATTCCTTCTCTTAATTCCCTTTTTGTAGCACTGTGTTTTTTCAGTACAGAACATTAATTTAGAGAAATAAGTAGTTATAAAGAGTATGGCTTGGTTCCATAAGGTAGAGTTGAGCTTTGCTCTCATGATTTTGACATCAGGTTATTGCAAAATAATGTTTGTGAGAAAGATTTTCCACGTAGATGTGTCAAAATGTCCAAATTTACATCAAACTTTACTTTACATTTGTTTCTATGATTTATGCCTGTGAATTATCTTTATAATAAATTTACCTATTATGCTGCATTATACTTTAACTTAATTAGCAATAACATGTGATAACTTTTGTAACTTAAACTATTCCTTCCTTTACTTACAGGAAACGTTATTGATGTGGATCATGGAATTATTTGTGAAAATGTTCCCATAATTACACCAACGGGAGAAGTGGTGGCTTCCAGGCTAAACTTCAAAGTAAGATGATATTCAAGAATCTTCTGATTGTTGCCATCACACTAATACAAAACAACTCAGAATTCATGTACCTTATGTTAAATACTTGGAGGAGCATATGGAAAGGAGGGGAAATCAAGAAAGGTATGCACAGTGGCTCAATTGCAGAAGCAGTTACTTCCTCAAAAAGGAGAGAAAAAGAGAAATTTGGTTTCTACTGCCTTATTGCCATGTTACAAATCAAAATTATAGTGCACTGAGAGCTATCCAAGGTAGCTTTTGAGAGCAATAGGAAATAGCCTCAGAAATTAATATGTGGAAATTAATTTTAATTTTTTTTCCTTATAGGAATTACTCAAAAACTATGAGCCAATATTATATTTACTAAATAAAATATGAGGACAAAAAGCATTAGCACATTTAGTTCTATTAATGCACAATCTCTAAATTTAATTTATATTTTAAATAATCACATCTCCTGTTAGGAAAAAATAATCAGAAGGTTCATGGATTGGAATTTAGTGTTTAATTCTGTGGAGAGTAAGAGTTGTTTGTTATTTAGTATTTTATGTCTTGATTACAAAAGTTAAGAAGTAAAAAT